ATCTAACCCTAGATTCACACATTCTTACTGTCAAAAGTTTCAAAAAGCAAAACTTTGACATTCTCCCCAGTTTCATGTCTCACTTGCATTACACACAGTCAACAGGGTGCTTAAGCCTTGGACAGCGTTTTCAGCAGGTGTAGCCTGCATGTCTGTCTTAAGAATTAACATGAGTAACTGAGCTCTTCAAAAATTAAACCAATTCAACATTAAGTCTAGAGTGTCTCTTGATTTTCAAAAGGCCTGGCAAATTAACAAAACACCAAAGATAATCACACTTGTCTCCCACTCACATTTAAAAGGCAGTTATCCTGTCCATAAGACTCTTCAAACCCCACACCTGTTATTACCATATATAATAGGTACCAGAACCTCTGAGGCAGGAAGTCATGCATCTACAGAAAGTGGCCAGAGAGCTGAAGGAGGTTTTTAAGCTCTTTAGCAGCACGCTATTCAGACCAGCTGCACACTTCTCTGAACTGGAAGGTCCCTGCTAACAAGGAGTGAAACTTACCATCACGCATTCAGCACGGCAGACCACTTCCCTTCTCTTACCAGTATGTACTTGAGACACAACCTTGAAAAGCAAAGCATTTGCAGTGGTGCAGTGCCAATGACTGGGTTTGATCTTTCCTACTGACAACGGTCAAATTCTTGCTATGTACATACAATTCAATGGTGCACACAGGCTAGACCTGGAACTTTTTGTAGAGCTCTATACTGCATGTAGGCATCTGTCCTGAAGTTATAAAAGCAGCAGACACTGATTAATCAAATGTCTGGCAGATTCAATTATCACCTTTTTCTATCAAATCGTTGTAAATCAGATTGTTGTCTAGGTTTGGAGGCCTCTGATGAGCCCCTGGTGCTCTTACATGCATGCCTAATACAGGTCAAGGTCAAACCTCAGCAGTCTGCATCTGAGGCCCGGTACTTTCCATGGACCTTTCTTGATATTAGCACACTTGGGAGAGCTTGCCACACCTTACCTTGGGCACCACCTGCTGTGGCCACCCAGGACCCCAGCTTTGGATGAGCCACAATCTCCACCACAGCTCTACACAGGACAATTTGCCTTTTAAGTTCAGTGAGAGCAAGCAGTGTGAGACTGTGCTTTATTGAAGGCTCTGTGCCCAAATGTCGCATCTTTTCTGAGGCCTCCCAGTCCTCTTTTCAAGCTCAGAATTACACTCTCTCTCTGCGGAATTACATCTCATAGACAGAGCTGCTCTAAATGCATGTCTGTAAAGAGAAGCTTTTCCTTGAGAGAAGCCTTCCCGCCGTCCTGGTTCTCGAGCCACATCAGTCCCAAATAAACACACAGGAGGCTATATTAATTATGAAGTTGTTGGCCTTGCTTGTTTCTTACTAGCTAGCTCTGACTTAAGTAATTACCCCATAATTGTTAATCTAAGTATGTCTCTTACCAGAGAAATTTCCGGGACTCCTACCCCATGGCGTTACATCTTGAACTCTCTTGTGTTTCTCCTTCCCAGAGTCCTCCTGGACTCCTAGTCCCATCTATCTAGATTCCTATTGGCTCAACAGTGCTTTATTGACATAAGACTTCCCCAACACATGTCAAACACTCACCAAGGAACTTTAAGGATTATGCACAAAGCTGTGCATGGTGGTACAACACCTTTAATCACAGCACTTGGAAGGCAGAAGCAGGTAGATCTCTGTGAGTTCAAGGCCAGCCTACTCTACACAATGAGTTCCAGGATAGACAAGTCTATGTAGAAACCTTTTCTCAAAAAAACAAACAAAAAAACCAAAACCAAAAAACCAAACAAACAAAAAGGGAAAAAAAAGACTAAAATACAAGATGGAGCAATTAAAAGCCTACTCTGCTTTTTCAAATTAAAACTATGGCCCAATATAAACTTGTATCACACTTCCTCTGTGTATACTAAAAGTTTAAAGCCTGAGACCAGTCTGTGGTCACCTACAACTTCTTCATATATACATGGTCATCCTTTCATGTGTACATGACTATCCTGTGTACATGGTTATGTTTTTCATGGCTATGCTTTGCTGTGTGCATTGCTATCTATTCTTGTTCAATTTTGTTTTGGCAAATTGGACACGTGGCACTTTTTAACTAATTTGATTTGCAGCATTGGGACTTTAACGCAGGACCTTGCACATGCTAGGCAAGCATTTTACCATGATGCTGCACTTTCTGTATGTCTATAGAACAAATTCTCAGATACACTGCTCAGAACACAGGCCTTTCCCTTGCTGTGACTATCCCCTCTTAGCCTTTCTCAATAGAACTTGGTTTTAGAATTTAGGAGAATGGCAATCAAAAGTATGTGTGTTCCGGTTTAGAATGCCTACATGTGCCTGTAGTATTAGCTCCTTGGGATGCTGAAGTTCCAGTCCGGGAATTAAGGCCAGCTTACGCAAAATAGCATGAGAACCCATCTCAGGAGAAGACGGCTCACTCAGTAAAATGACTGCTGTACTGTCCAAGCATATGGATCTGAGTTGGGATTCCCCAAAAGCCAGAGTGCTATTTCTATAACCCGAGTGCTGGGGAGGCAGAGACAGGAAGACTCTAGGTTAGTGAGAAACTATCTCCAACAATGAGGTTGTGAGTCACTGAAGACCTCCACTGCCGGCCTCCACACACATGCCCAGACGTGTACATGCATGTACATATAAACACATATCCAAGTAGAGTGGGGTGGGGAGACAGGGAGATTATGTACTCTAAAACAGTCTATGTTTTCAAACTTAAACAGTTCCAATACTGCCCCAAGACAAAGCATGCCTGCCAATAAGGAGACAATGGCATTTTCTCTGTATGGTAGGAACCATTAGGAATAGATGGAAAACATTATCTCACTGAAAGTAACTATTTTTATATACTTCACTACATCTCAATCCTTTTTTCCTTGTAATTTTCCTTCTGCTCCATTTGTCTCTAGTTTTTGCAACCTTGAAGACTTTTCTTAAGTATTTTGCCAATGAAATTCTTCTTCTCTCCCTGCATAGCCTGAGACAGCCAATCTCTTTGGTCCTAGCTTTTGTCTCTACCCCACACCCCACCCCACCCAGCAACCCTAGCCTCTTCACATTAAATCTCTCCCTTGATGTTTTAGCTGAGACTTTGGTAAGTGTGGCAGAAGAATCAACAGCCAGCACTGAGCAGATCTCTACTATTTAAACCTGCAGGTGTCCTGGAATATTATTTTAAGTTGTGTTACATTTGTGGAACGCTTAATTATGCAAAGATGTGTTGCATTTAACTCTGTGAAGCTGTGTTGCTTTGTCTGTCTAAAGTACCTGATTGGGCCAATTAAGAGCTGAATGGTCAACAGCTGGGCAGGAAAAGGCTAGGTGGGACTGGCGTGCAGACAGAATAAAAAATCTGGGAAGAAAAGGAGAATGGACGTCAGGGGTCAGCCACCTAGCTACACAAGCCTTGGAGTAAGAAGTAAAGAAAGGTATTTAGAATGGAGAAAGATAAAAGCCCAGAGGCAAAAGATAAATGTGATAATTTAAAATCAAGAAAAGCTGGCTAGAAATAAGCCAAGTTAAGGCAGGGCATTTGTAAGAAAGAATCAACCTCTGTATGACTTATTTGGGAGCTGGGTGGAGGGCTCCCCCCACCCCAAAACAGCTAAGAGGAAAAAACAACCAACATGAGGGTAGAGTTTTCAGATGAGCTGAGTGGCTTTTATAACCCACTGAAGTCTGGAAGCTTTGGTTTTGAACTTGGTGTTAATTGCTTTCTGCCCTACAACATCCTTGGATGCAAACAAAAGCAAGCAAACAACAAAACTACAGCAAAACAAGCCCTCAAGGTAGACCTCTCTTTAACAGTATTGTAAAATGCACTTAAAAGGACCAGCTCGTGTGTTGTCAGGATAAGAATCCAGAACACAGATGTGAGGAGAGGAATTCACTGAAGCTGTTTACTGTGAACAAACTCAGATTTTGGCTTTTTGGGCTGTCTAAGTGAAATAGCATCTTGATATCACAAACTTCTAAGCACTATTCTTCTATGCAAAGAGTAAGTTTAGTATTCCCTAAGTATCTGTCATTGCATTTCTAACCCAGGAGGAAGGTGCAGCATGCAACGCTTCCCTAAAAGTTAACACAATGTTAGAATGCATGCTATCACATAGTTGTAGAATCATTATTGTGCAATCTGTGTTGCTTACAATGTCAAGGCTTTCTTGTTCTGTTGCAACTGAAGGTAGAAAGGTTCTCAGCTCACAAAGGTACTGTTGTTTTAAGAATGTGCTATTGGATCACAAAGCAAGAGAGTACATTAACCATATAGTTTGTTACGGGGGAGGGGGAGAGGGAGAGGGGGGGGGAAGGGAGAGAGAGACAGAGAGGGGAGAGGGAGGGAGAGAGAGAGAGAGAGGGAGGGAGGGAGGAAGGGGAAGAGGGAGAGGGAGAGGGAGAGGGAGAGGGAGAGGGAGAGAGAGAGAGAGAGAGAGAGAGAGAGAGAGAGAGAGAGAGAGAGAGAGAGAGAGAGAGAGACTGACCAAGAGGGTAAGAGAGAGAGAAGGGAGAAGAGAGTGAAGTAGGGGTGAAGACTCGAGGAGCTTACTTAAAATGGGAAGCCTGCGCATGCTTACTGAGTCCTTAAGCAGCCCCTTAACAAGTTATATCGCCATGACAGAGGCCAAGCCAATGTGCATGCCCCACCCATTGCCAGGGAGCAGGGTCAGTATGGTGTTGAGTTCCAACAGGTACCAACAGTATTTAACAATACCCTTCAAAGTACAGGGTCCCTCCCAAGGATTTTGGAAGCTTAACAATGAGAAAAAACTGGGCTTCTCCCACCATTTAGACATCAATAGTAATTTCATCTAACAATGTTTCTATGAATTCAATTCATAAATCGTACTTATTAGATCTATCTTATTATGGGGGTGCTTAGTGCCCAGGTATCCTATTTTCAAGTAGCCTAGAAAATCTACTTTCCTGTAATAGGTACTAAAAATTAATAAGTAAAAACTCCAAGGAGTCATTCCTTTATCATTAAAATGAATTTAATTTAAACACTATACATCAAGTGCAGGACTATAACCTAGCCCTATGCTGTGGCTGCTGGCTGCACTGGAACATGTTCACATGACCAAAACGCCTCACCGTGAGCTCAGGCCTCCTATTTCAAACAGTTTATTTCATACAACTTCCATGGAAGGTTTGTAAAGTTCTTCAGGATAAGTCATTCTTTATGGAAAATATATATATATAATTTTTTTGTATTACAAAAACAACAAATAATTCACCAATCCATTGACGTTGGCAAATTTAGTTCACGGATGCTGCAAACACACACAGACGAATGCAGCAGTCCACCGACACTTAATGTCTAGTCTCACTGGTTTCTTGTATCTTCTGGAGAAGATACTCCATCTGCAGATTCAGGTTGGGCTGGCCCTTTCTAGTCTTTTTGCTTAAGACTTTGAAAGCTTCCATCTTCTTCTTCTTGTAGAGCCTCTGAGCCTCTTCTCGTTCTCGCTTTCTCATTTCAAATTCCTGCAATTATAAACATACACAATGTTCATTCGCCAGACAGAAAATACAGGTCAGAATTGCTCTGAAATTGACATCACAATGCAAGCCACTGATATCCATCTCTTGTGTTGGATAACATGTGAATAATTTTCCAAAACTGAAGGAGTGTGAGCTCTTTGCTTTCATACCATAATGATATAAGGAATATAAAAGAATAACAGTCACGGCAGCATGTTATAAGTAAAAAGAAAAGTCAAATACTTATTTAGTAATTTCACTGTTTAAATCTACTAAAGAATTAGAGGGACCTTTACAGAGGGTAGCGAGTCTAATCTGTATAACACTAAAAAGTTTATTTTCAGAAAACCATATCTTGCATTTTTTTGTTCTTTAGCTAATTTACAGATTTAATTTAGAAAATGGCGGCTACCTACTTACTACACTAGTGAAAAACACTGTTAGACACCAGGAGCTTCACCATTTAAGTCTATCATGCTCACTGGTTGCTATGACAGAAACTCTAGTTCTGAAGATTCATTATTGAACAAGCACAACAACATTCTCACTAACTTAAAATAACAGCTGAAAAGAAGTTGTGCTGTAGCAGATGTATTCATTTCCAGTCCACGAAGCCTCAAAACGACATACAATAGACTTACACTCACTTGTAATTACAATTATAGTTAGCAAAGAGTCTTACATGCAATCTGTGAAACTGCAGTACACTCCATTCTTCTACAAACTTTCCCTAGTTTACTTTGTTGGTCTTACATACAAGAACCAAGCTCAGTAATAAAGAAGTGACTTGCTGGAGACCACTATGTAGCTGAGCTGTTTATAAACAGATTCAAGTGCTTATCTTGTCATCATATTACTTAAAATCATATAACTATGTGGTACTTGTGACATCATATTACTTAAACTCATATAACTATGTGGTATAGCACTTATTTTGATATATACATAGAGATATGAAGCTGGGTGGTAGTGGTGGTGGTGGTGGTGGTGGTGCATGCCTTTAATCCCAGCACTGGGAGGCAAAAGCAGGTAGATCTCTAAGTTCCAGGCCAGCCAGAGCTGCATAGTGAAACCTGCCTCAGAAAAGATCTGAAACTTGCTCATGAGTTCTGCTGCCTGGCCTGGTTGCCTGATTTATCCCTATGGCATTACTCTTATTTATGGGTCTATTTAACTAATTCTTTACAATTTTGATCTCATGGGTAAAGTGTCACTGGCTTTCGTATTAACATTAGATAGAGATCATTTCTGTTATCAGCTGAAGAATAACCATAAGCATTTTAGATATTAAACTCTGAATTCCTGTATTCATATTCTAATATGCATAAGTTAAATTATATCAGTAGTGTCTTTAAGGATATTTGATGAAATAATGGTAATTACTTAATCTTTAGTACAAAACAAACCAACAAAAACCTAAAAACCCAAACCTTCAGACTAAACTCTACTACCCTGTATAGATACAGTTTTAAAGGTCATAGATTAAGGAAGAAAGGAGACTCTTGAGGAAATATTTAAGCATGGGACAAGGCTTCATTTCTGAGTATTTTATTCCAACACTTCCTCTGTGGCTTTTACTGCTGTGTAAAATTAAGAAAATCATCAATATTTCTTTCAAGTCTCAGGTCCTGGTAATTACAGCACATCAGATTATTTCAAGGAACTTGTTCAAGATCTAAGTTCCTAGGCTGAGAAACATTATCACAAATGCCAGATGCTCATATTATTAACTGACAAGCAACTTTTTTGAATTTTATCACTAACTTACTAGTATTATCTGAGCCAATCAAGGACTTACAATATCATACAATTCTACAAGTCTGCTAAGTATTGAAGCAGGCAATAATTATGTGCCCAATACTAAGAAGCATAGCTTGTACACATGTTAAAGATAAAGAAAGGTAAAGCTAAATAACTAAAAAGTAGAACTTACAAATTTCTTAGCAGCACGCTTTGCTTTTATCCGTTCATACTCTTCTTGTGCCTTTTGGTTTGAAGTTTTCTTTTTCTTTGGAACAGTGACAGAACTTGTAAGAGAAATTAAGACATGTAAGTTAAACCATTAAGCAATGATTTAGATAAAATTATGCAACTGTGTTAAATACAGTATTTATATACAAAACATCAGTAATACAAATTGATCAAATCCACCCACCATTTTTTTCTTCTCCAGTCCCTTCCCTATCCTCTACACCACATTTCCTTAGAAATTTCATGTGTTTCTTTTGTATTTGTATTAAACTCACTGAGCCCACTCACTGTTACCAGTATGGGCATGTGCATGGGTGTGGGGCCATCTACTGGAGATGGTTAGATTCTCAGATCTGCATCCCCAAAGCTGACTGACCTCCCCTCTCACCCATCATCAGGAGCCAAAATCTCCTAAGCTAGGTATGGAACTTTGTGACCCTCTCTCCCCAGTACATGCTGGGATTTTTTTTTCTGGCTTGATCTTGCATGTCTTTGTACATGCAACCATTGTCCCAGATTTGAAAGACAAAATTTTAGTTTAAAAAAAAAAAAAAAGTTAAGATCCAAAGTGATACCTGGCTTCCCCGATAGCATACATGCTAATGTATGTTTGATTGAATCATGTACAAACAAAGTTTCATAAGCTAGCTCTTATAAAATCAAAGTGACAGGGCTTTGTTCTAAGACAAGATCTTATACAGTAGTGTAAGCTGGCTTGAAACTCACCCGATAGTCCAGCTTAGCCTCCATCTGTGGCAAACCATAGTTAGGCCTCCTCAGTATAGGGATTGACAAGGATCAGACACCACACCCAGGAAAACATCCATGTGCCAGCAAGTTTCAGTATTTTTGCTGTTTTATGAGATGGACCCTCCCTATGTAGCCCAAGCTAGCATGAATTAACAGCAATCTTCCTGCTTCAGTCCTCTGAAGGCTTACAGGCATAAAGAGCCACGCCTTGCTTGACTTTTGTTAGCTACAGCCTATTTCCTGTACCATTTTCAGAGAATGCAATTTAAAATATAGCTAATCGTGGGCCGGGCGGTGATGGCGCACGCCTTTAATCCCAGCACTGGGGAGGCAGAGGCAGGCGGATCTCTGTGAGTTCGAGGCCGGGCTGGACGGACAGCCTCCAAAACAATACAGAGAAACCCTGTCTCATAAAACCAAAAAAAAAAAAAAAAAAAAAAAGGCTAATCACAGCATTCATAAACACCAAATAGCACACGTTTTATTAAAATGCTTGACATAAATTAATTCAGTCATCAAAATGTCATGAAATATAACACTTTAAGAACATTATTACCGGGTGTTGGTGGCACACGCCTTTAATCCCAGCACTTGGGAGGCAGAGGCAGGCGGATCTCTGAGTTCGAGGCCAGCTGTCTCAAAAAACCAAAAAAAAAAAAAAAAAAAAAAAGAACATTATTAATGGATGTGAGGGCAATCTGGCTGACATCTGTCACTCCACTGATCACCAGGGTTGATTGGCTGATCTGGCTGGCTAGGTGGGTGTCCCCTTCCTCCCTCCATGTGTGTCCCTTCCGAAGCTGTGCACTCAGTGGAAGAGGACGACCTTCCCCAACTAAAGGAGGACCAGTCTTCGGTCATGGGTATCCCTGTAGCTACACTCCCCTGCTAGAATCTCCAGGCAAGCTCTCAAGAACATTATTCACCAGAGACAACGATCCACTTAGAGACTGTACAACATAGTGGTTCAAGTACTTTGATTCTGCCCTTCCCATCATAGAGGGCACTGGTATACCAACATGTAAAGTCTGGCTCTAGAATCTAAAGTGTCACTGGCTACACACTTCCATTATTTCTCTAGTATCTCATTATGTTGCCCATGCTGGCCTGGGACCTGTAATTGTTCTTTGTGCCTCAGCTTCCCAAACGTTGGCCTTACAGATAATACAACACCAAGCCTGATCTAAAAAAAATGTAAAACACACACACACACACACACACACACACACGTTTCTTAATAGATGGGCTTATTGTTTAATTAAGTTACTTGTTCTTGAAAGACTAATTCAAAAGTCAGATCTCTTAATTCTCAGTTTACATTCTTTTCACCTACATTCAACTAGCCTATGCCAATCATTTTACACTAAAAATAAAGATTGTGAAAATATTATAGCATGACTTCAAAATGTGTTAAGAAATCTTGTAATTCTTACCCATGTTTCCCTATATCTTCTACAAAACATTACTTACATTTAAAGTGAAGAGTTTCAAAAGAAGAAAGTACTCACTTTAGTGTACACAGCTGTTCTGGCTGAGGCTGGTGATCACTAGGCTGTTCTTCAGACAAAGTCTGTTCAGTGTTACACTCTTCTTCAGAGACAGGCTGGTCAGCTTGTTCTTCTGAGGGAGGCAGACCAACCTTTCTCCGTTGTTTCCTGAGTCTTTCTTCTTCAGCCAAATAGAGGTGTTTCAGATGGTCTGGGTAATGATCAGTGAACTGGGCTTCCTGGGACGTTGGTGCCTTCTTTACCTTCCATTGCAATTTCTTGTAATTCTGCTGGATCTTCAGTTTCCTCCGAAATGCGAACCCTTGTCCTAATATGTAAGGATTTCAATCACAATTACTTTCACAGAAGGTGAAAAATAAAGCTACTAGAAATGAAGTCCTTTTTTAGACATAATATTCAAATGACAGAATTACTTGGTTTTGATTTAAAGATTAGTTTAGTCACACATTTAATGATGGACTGAGAAGATGGCCCTATGCCTGAATATAAGACTAACAATTGTCAGACACCACCCACACCCACACATTCAACGTAAAACTGAAGAGTAAACTAAACTCCACGGCTCAACTTGAATTTATAATCGTACTCACAAAATAAAATTTCTTTAATTCATCTAAATCATCACCTGGGGGGGGGTCTTCAGCAAAACACTTAAAAATAGGGTGGGAAAATCTTACTTTTCTTTTGGAGAAACTTACCCATCAAGTATTTTCCAAAAACCACAAAAGGGGATAAAGTACAACTTGCGAACATCTGCCAATCATTATTAGGTGGAACCAGGCACTTATCTAAAGAGCAATTGAGCAGCCTCGCAAAGACAAAGCAAGGAATCTAAGAGAGGAGGATGTAATTGTCGCGGCTGTGGGGCAGTCTGCTTTGAGCCCCATCTTTCTCTCTTTGCTGTAGTATAGACACAAGTCGGTCTAGCTAGCACGCAGTCTAGACCCCCGGACGCCCCGTGCTTCCGGTTAGAGGAAGGGGCCGCGACAAATGGTGAGGTTGGCAGCAGCGTCCCGTTCTCCCAGGCAGAGGGCCGGGCAGCGAACGGATTCAGCGGGCTTAGGGACGGCTTCGCAGGTCTCGGACCGACGCGGACCGTGTCGGGAGCTTCTCCCGGCAGACGCAGCACGCACCCCGGCCTTCCCCACTGCGGTGCTGACATACCCTCGCGAACGCTCCCCGGGAAGGCCTGCTGGTGGCTGGGCCGCCAGCTCCTGCGTTTCCCACTTCGCTTCCTGAATCCGCCCTGAGGCTCCCCTTCCTCGCGCGCCGCAAATCCCCGGGTGCGCAGCTTCGAAGACGGCCGCGCCGGCGCCATCCCGCGCCACTGTGGCTGGTGGAGCCACGGCGGACGCCGGCGTATCACGTCACCAGGCCGAAGCAATCAATCGCCCGTGTCGCGCACGCTCAGAGCGCGACTGCCTCGGCCTGGGCGGCTTCAGGAAGACGGGGGGCCGCGCGCGCGCGGCCATGTTGGCGCCACCTGCAGCCCGGGAGGGCGAGCGTCATGGCGGCGCTTTGCTCGCTCCCCGGGACCCCGGACCTGCCCGCGCTGCACGCCAAGCTACAGGACTTGCTGGGCTTCCTGAGGGGCGCCCTGCCCATTTGCAGCGCGCACACGGTGGACTTCTACACCGGCTCGCTGTGGCAGCAGCTGGTCGACTTGAACCCCGAGAGCGTGCTGGCGGCGCTGCGGGAGGCGGCGGGGGCGGAGCCGCCGGGGGCGGAGGCCGGATCAGGTGACTGGCGGGTGGGCGGGGCCCGGTGACTGACGGGCGGGTGGGGCGGGACCAGGTGACTGACGGGCGGGTGGGGCGGGGCCAGGTGACTGATGCGTGGGCGGGGAAGATCAGTTGACTGACGGGCGGGCGGGCGGCCGCACGGCTGATCGTGCTCCCCCCTGGTGGAATTTGGCGGAAGTAACAGGGATTTGCGTAGCGTCAGTGGGAGTTGAGTGGAGGGATCCCAATAGCAAGGGTGGGCGCGATCCCCTCGTTCTTATCTTGGGTGTTAGTATATTGCCCCATTTAAGGGCATCAAGAAACAGGGAAGAGGCCCTCATCCTCTTAGTGATTCAACAGTAAAATTTCGGTTTGGAAACGCAAAAAGTTTATTTGACAAGTGCAGGGTGGGCAAATACAGAACAAGGAAGAGTGTATCTTGGATTTGGATGGTGAAAGTCTTGAATGCTCTCTGGTTCATTTTGAAACTATGTATTTTCACTATCAGTTATGTGACGTGAAGTTTTCTAGGCTCTGGAGTTTCGTCCAAAGAAAGTTAGGTTCTATCAAGTGTCTGTTTTGAAAACAAAGGAACGACAGCAGGTCCTGGAATTTCTTCTGCTCTGCATCCGGGCTTTCCAGGTGCCATTAGTGACCTTCATCCCTGAAGCATCCTGATAATACAGTGTGACACGTGGTGGAGGGCAGGGGGGATATGATAGAACTTAGTAATATATTGATTCTTTCAAATCTTTCTTGGAAACTTTCAAAGAGCAGGAACCATGTTTGTCTTAACAATGGGTGGATTCCAACTTGTGGAAAAATACTTGGCATGTATTAAGTACTCCATAAATATTTGTTGAACTAATGACTCATGGTGGCTTTCAAAAAACAAAGAAAATGTAAAGAAAAGCGACAATTAAGTGCAGAGAAAGGCTTTAATGTGAGTGTAACTGGGTCTTCACCCGATGGGATCACCCTATTTTACATATACTAATAGTTGTATTCCCTGGATGTTCTGCAGTGTGCTAGGTGCACAGGTGTTTTTTTCTCCATATATTTTCTCGTGTGTGTGTGTGTGTGTGTGTGTGTGTGTGTGTGTGTGTGTGAAACCTTTAATTAATTAACTATGTATCTGTCTAACATAAGTAATTAATCAATTAATTGTGTATCTGTCTAACAACAACAGAGACTGACTGGGTTATTGACCTTTGAAATGTCTCTGGACCTGATAACCTTTTCAGTATAAAATACCCAATTGTACAAATGCTTAGCTGTTTTATAACCTGATTTATTGGAAGCATTACGTAGGATTTTCTCATCTAGCTCTTACTAACCTTGTTGTAGGGAAATCCAGCAGTAGAACTAGTTAAACAAATTTTACATCCCCATCGGGAGATCGCAGACATCAGTAATTGCATAACATATATTTTTGATATCTTTGTGTATGTATGAGATATGACACATATGAGATACAGCTTTTTTTTACAAGTATAGTTGTCTTTGTGTCTCAGATAAGTTTTCAACATTATTAATGCTTTAAAACACATAAAGTTTTTATTATTATTTTGACAATTTTGTACAAGTATGTAATATATTTTAATCCTCCCAGCATTCCCTTGTTTTATTCCCTCCCTCTCCTGCTTTACCCCTTACTTTTTTCTTCCTAATCAGCCTCCCCTCTACTTTAATGTCGTGTGTGTGTGTGTGTGTGTGTGTGTGTGAGTGTTTCCCACTGGGTTTAATTAGGCTTGCTTGTATGAGTGTGACTGTAGAGTTATTTATCAGCTCATGGATACGTGTATCCTTCTCTCCTGGCAACCATCAGCTGCCATAAGCTCCTTAGAGGATTTTTATTCTTACAACATAAAAACATGCATGTATCTCAGTTGTTATATTGCTCTTGAGTTAATCTCTCAACTTCTATTGAATAAAATTCTTATTCATTTCCCTGAGACTCAAGCTGTTCTTCATTAAAACAAATTTGCATGTATGGTATGTGTGCATGTGTGTATGTGTTTTTGTGAGGGATGCATATGCCTGTATTAAGACCTGAGATTGAAGTCCAGTCTTCTCTGATGCTCTTCACATTATAAAGTGAGACAGGATCTCATGTTGACCCGGAGCTTATCATTTTGGCTATCCTGGCTAGCCAACTTCTCCAAGGATTCTGTTTCTCCCTCCCACAAATTGGAATTATAGGGAGGTGCTGGCTAGTTTTTGTTAACTACTTACAAACTAGAATTACTTGGGAAGAGAAAACTTTAATTGAGAAGGTGCTCTGAAGGGTGTTTTATGTATTAATAATGAATGTGGATATGAGAGGGCAGCCCACTGTGGGAATGCTACCCTTGGGCAGGTAGGTGGTCCAGGTTACATAAAAAGGAGGCTGATAGAAGCCGTGGGGAGTAAGCCAGTCAGCTGCATTTGTCCATGGTCTCGGCTTCAGTTTTTGCCTCCAGGGACCTGCCTTTATTGGACTGTAATTGAGACATGTAAGCAAAATAACCCTTTCATCCCCAAGTAGCTCTTGCCTGTGGTCTTGACCAAGCAGTAGATGTAAACTAGGACAGGAGGTTGCTGGACTTCCGCCTCACATGAGTTTTGGGCAGTGGTTCACAACCTGTGGATTGCAGCCCTTTTGGGAGTCACCTAAATCACCATTTCACAGGGGTCACCTAAGACCATCGGAAAATAGGGATATTTACATTGCAATTCACAACAGTAGCAAAATCACAGATATTAAGTAGCAACAAAAATAATTTGATGGATGTGGGTCACCACAATGTGAGAAACAGTTGAGAACCACTGGTTTGGGGGCATCCTAACTTTGGTCTTTATGGTTAATGTGACAAGCATTTTACCCACTGAACTTTCTCCCCAGACCTGTTCTTTATGCTATGCTGTGTTTCATGAGGGTTTTTATGCCATTTTAGCGGGAACTGACTCAGTCTTCCATGACTACTACTTCACATAACATTAGACACCCTGTGAATGACTTTGTTTTTTTATCTATTTTTTTATTTAACAAATATTTCTAAATATATCTCATTGTACAATTTTATTTGCTAACAAGTTAAAGTATGTAAAGTGCGACCCCTGGAGGGGACCCCCGACCCGCGGGCATGAGGTGATGAGGGTCGCTACTAATTTGGTGGGTCTTCACGAGCAGATCCGATCTTAAAAGTAAACTTCAAGAAGTTAAAGGAAACAGGCTCAAGACAACGTTCGCTGATCAAGAGCGTTTATTTTTGGGGTGAGATGGTACTTATAGAAAAAGAATCTCAGGGGGCGGTACAAGCATGCCAATCAAGTCTCAACTCAAATATACACCAAATAAGGTAAAGACAAAGCTATAATTTTCCATCAGTTATCAGTCGCATTCCACAAATGCTTGTCAGCGTAAGTCAGGTGCAGGAATTAGGGAGGGGTAGGAAGTATTCAAAGGAACACTTTAACCTTTTGTTAACAAAGACAATTGCTCTATAAGGGTTACTTCCCCCTGGCTAGGCGGGTGGGCTGCCCTGTGTAAATTTAACTTTTATGGTTAACCTTTTCCTTTGTCTTAAGGGCATGTGTGCTCGCAGTCACGTAGGCAGAAGGCCAAGAAATGGCTGACAGACTCCATTTTGTTCAAGGTTCTAGCAGTCCCCAACAGTAAAGAATCTTAAAATTAAAATTTATGGTTAATTTTTCTAGTTTTACAATTTAATTTAATTTTCATAAAAATATAGTTCAATGTGAAAATGCTTTTGAAATGATTGACTATATTTATACATTCATTATGGTGTTAATATTGGTATGGTAAGGATTCGCATGTTAGTCCTTGTTAATATGTGTTATTTCATCCCGAAACATGGTTTGCCCATTTAACATATTTTCTCATTTTATATGCAACTATAAATTAAGCTAAGGTTGCTAGGCAATAAAACAAATCCTACCACATAATTGGATCATATAATTGATTCATTTTCAAAGCAACAATATGTATTGTTTGTTCTGTTGGTACATTACAGTTGGATAGATACAAAGTTTATAGAATTTAACACAATCCATCTTTTCAAAGTTTAGCAAGACAGACTTAACTTTCGGCTATTAAACAATTAACAAAGATGTAACCCAACAGTCAGCTGTTGCAAAAACCAAAGCCTTAAAAACTGTTATTTAATTTGCATTAGACAAAAAATTAATTTCCTTTTTAGAAACAGATGCTCAACTCATTCAGTACTTGGGGAAAATTGTACTTCTTATCCAAAAGGAACATGCCATGAGGCTTTTGTGGTAGTGCTGGAATTAATGGGATTTGAGCCATAGTGGTGATGGGGAGGGTTTCCAAATGAGAGACAAATTTTACATCAGGATGGATGACTGATTGGACACATGAAGTAAAGGCACACAGTATGTGAAAGATTCTTTTTAACTTTAGCAGTGAATGAAAATGCTACTTACCAACACGGGGAAATGGAAAAGGGCAAGATGTGTCAGGAATAAGAATATTTGTAGAAATAAACACAAAATAGTTTTATATCCATGTGAAGCTAGTCATTAGCAAGGTACTGCTATCAATATCTTCCTGAAATTCTGGTCCATTGGCTGTGTGACTAATAATTTCCTCAGCCCCTATAACAAAGTTATGTCTGTAACTTGAGTACATGTTTGTATCTTATATTGTATTCTGTATGATGTAAATCACTCTTGTCTCACCCTAAGGTTGTAAGTATTCAGGCTGAAATGAGGTTTTATGCTTCCCTAACAGGCTCAGTGGTGCTATTGAAGTCCTCATAGTGGCCTCAGTGATTACAGCCACTACGGAGTCTTAGGAGAATTCCGTAGTTGATGATGCTACAATAGTAAGTGCATTGGAATATGCCATCGTTCATGCATGCATGCATCCATCCATCATCCATCATTCATGTTGTGTGCAAAGTACTTTTGCTTTACAACCGAACATACGGCTGTGGTATTTGTTTCTAAAAGTAGATACCACTGACAGTCTTACATAGTTATTTTGCTTTCTTTTCAGAGACATGAATTATTTCAGATACCCGAATTAGGTTTCAGTTTCTGGAAGCAAGATCCCTTCTAGCGGAGAAGGAAATGTTAAGAGGAGTAATGAAAGTAGTTACAAAGAAGGGGAAAGTGTGTAAAAGCTTATGACTATAGATGGCTCTCTGGTTTTGATAGCCAGGTCCATCAGTGCCCGCTGTTATTTTGCTTGCTGTGGCATGCCAGTGAAACAGGCGGTTTAAGAGCAGAGTAAGTCAGACTGCCACAGATTATTTGCCCTGACACTTAGGGTGCACATTTGAATCAGTTATAGTCTTGTCAGGTCTTAGGAACGTCCTCTGCAAATGAGGTAGAAGCAACAATTAACTTGCTCGTGTAACAGGTGGCGTGTCTAACATCATGCCTGGCACGTAGCACTAAACATGCAGTACCTGTTAGCAGTGGGGCAGTGGGTTAGTGATGGAGCTCATCTTGCTGAGAGTTTTATAGGACATTCAGGCACCATAACAGGTAAGTAGCTTGGAGAGTTTTCTTGCTAATTATTACTTGTTAATCATTCATTGGTTATAAAACTTTATGCATTTTTTTCCTCCAAGATTCTTACAGTCTGTGTTTCACTTTTGTTTTCCTTTGCACACTGATATCTGGTAGAAAAATGAAAAGCGGGTTAGAGGTATCTTGGTATCATGCTTATTGAAAATAACCTGACCTGCTTTTCCCCCATCTTATTTCCTAGTTTGTTGTTATTTTTAGATTGTATGTTTTTGTATTGCTGTGTGTATGATGCATGATTTGTTAGTATAGATGCGTGTGTAGTGTACTTCGGTTGAGTCTGTGGATCAGAGAACTGGCAGGAGTCGGTTTTAGCCTTCTACCATGTGGAAAGACTGCGTGGTCAGAATGCACAGCAAGCGCCTTTACCCACTGAGCCAGCCCGCCGGCTCTCCAGCTAATCTGTTTCCCATACTGTCTCCTAGCCTCTCTCAAAAGAAACTGCCCTGGGATAGTGATGCAGGTCATTCAAACAGGACAAGGGAAACGCACGCTGGAGGAAGATCAGGGACTTCCAGTAGAGGGGGTTGTAGGCAAAGCAGTCAAGCCGCAGAATATGCGGATAGAGCAGGCAGCTGATTACTGCAGCAGCTTTCTCTGGGGGGAAGAATATCATATGTACCCAACTAAGAAGTAACTAAAACTCAACGGCGGCACCGTGGCTTCTGGCTGCCAGTCACAAACTTAGTTTGCAGACACAGAGCACTGCAAGCATTGCCCCCATGGCATTCTCACATGCTGGATCACAGAAAAAAGGGAAGACTAGATCACTGGCCCTTTCGTTCTCTGTGAATCTCTAAAAGCAGCAAATCGTGGCTGTTACAGACTGAACCACTCAGGAAAGAATAACCTCAGCTATATTTCTGTAATCAAAAAAATTAATTGTGGAACTCTAGACTGAATAAACAGGTTTAACACTAAAGAAATAAACTATGAGACTGAATCAAAATATGTCATCCTTTAAAAAACTGATTATTGCTGAAAATGTGTTACCATTTTATCTTAGGCCTTCAGTACCCAACGTTTTTGGAGCACTTGTAATTAAAAGCAAATTAATAGCATTTAGTTCAGGTCAGAGTGGAATATTTTCAAGAATTTTCAATAGGATAACTAAGTTGATTCAGACACTTACTTTTCCAACAGAAATATCACATTTCTTTCTGTTGGCAACATTGCCCAATAACTGGCAGAGGTAATGGCCCTCTGCTGACTGCGATTTCATACTTTTATTCTATCACACTCTAAGAAACTGCTCCCCTGGAACCTTCGAATGTTGAGACAGCTCTTAAACCTGAAAGTCTCACTGAATAGTTGACTGAGTTTTCCCTCCTGCATCATGTCTAAATATTTTGATGTAGAGTTTATTACTTTTGGCTGCATCCGTAAATTCAGCTTGTAAAATTTCGTAAAATCTATATTAAATAAATTCACCAAGGTAACCTTGTGGTTTTATTTTCTATTTAATTGATTCAAACGTTGAAGTCACACATCTTTTGCTTTTTTCTGCTTAATAAATGTAGTACACACTATATCTCCAACTTAAGAGATGCTATTCTTAATAAATGTAGTACACACTATATCTCCAACTTAAGAGATGCTATTCTTAATAAATGTAGTACACACTATATCTCCAACTTAAGAGATGCTATTCTTAAGAAGCTATGAGTGGAAGCATATAGTTTTATTTGGAATTTGAAGATATTCATCAGTTACATTGTTTTCAAGTTTCAAAAGAGCAACAGCTTTCTTTGTTTTTTTTGTGGATATTTTAAAAAGTAGTTATGAGTGTCATCTATGCAAAACAAGATGTCATGGCATATGTGTTACGATGTTTGTCTGGTTTTGGTACAAAGTTGTTGCCTAGATTGTGTGCCTCCCCTAAGTGACTGCTTCATAGACTTGATTTAACAACCGGGTTTGTTGGTTTTGCGAGCTTGCTTTCATTTTGTTATGCACTGATATAGCTTTTAAAAAAACACCCTTTAATGAATGGCCTCACTTGGACTGCTTTATCCATCGAGGTCTGTGAACCACTATGGACAGATTGGAATGAAAACCTTCTAAATAAATTGTCCCTTAACAGTGGCACAGAAGAGCAAGACTGCAATACAAGAATAGCAGTGCTGCAGAGACTAGCACCTTGAAACACACAAGTGTAGGTCAGAAAAGACAGCTCATGGTTAAACCACTACATTACTCTTCTGCTGCTGTTGCTCCTGGAAAACATAAATACCAAACTTTAATTTTATCTTTCCAGGCATGATTGCAGAAAATGCTAAAGCCAGGTTTTGCAGAGGCTGATAGTTTAAGTAACAAATGCAAAGGAGCTATTAGGAGATATTGCCAAAATCTAAAGTTAAAATCTTGTAAGTTGCTGTAAAATTCCCATGGTTCATTGCTGTTTTAAAATTGCGAACTGTTTAGATATTAACTACTGTTCATCTTCCTTTCCCATCTGATTTTCAGGTTTTATTGATCTCCCCAGAGTATTTTGTGAAAGGTCTCAGAAGCTGTTGAGCACGGAAGCCTTCGTTCTGGCCGCCAGACACTATTCTGTGCAAAGCTTGGGGCTGTGTACTCCTCGTGAGCAGTTGCTTACAGCTCTCAGGCTAAATAAAGAACAGAGGACTGGTATGTGGGAGTGTGACGTATGCTTACACCTTCTAGGTTCTTAACAGCGGGACACGGCTCACATGTATGTCTCTCCATTATAGTCTGGTGTGTTGCTGGGTATTCCAAGCACTGATACGTTCACTCATTTTGAGAAGATCAGGTTCTCTTATCCAGTATTAAGGGCACATGCAGATCTCTATGTTTTTCCCTACATTAGCCCCCTGGGTGTCTTTACCATAGTTAGTTTCAGACGCTCAAGCACGTATGTATTGTACTACTACAGATTTCAAAACCCTTGCATTAGCTTTTATTGCAGTTGGATAATGATCTCTGTGGCCATTTTTGCGGGGGAGGGAGATATGAGGAAGGTGGATGGTCGTTGCTGGGAAAATGGGGGAGACATAAGTATACGAAAGTAGGGACAACCCAAATTAAAATCAAGTGGCAATATCCATGCTTACGTTAAAGGCCAATAGACACCCCAGTTAGATGATAGTGGTGAGGAAGCTGAGGTTTTAAGAACTGTTCCATGTCTAGGAATCAGCTTTAATAGTAGAGCCAATGGGTTAAATAATAATTGCATTAATGAAAAAACAGGGAATGCATGACTTAATTTATTGTTTACCAAGGTCCTCACTGTCTGCCATCTCATTTGACCCTTGTTATTTCACCAACTCTTTTTTTTTTTAAAGAAAGTGCTAAACTTACAGAAACACTGCTTGAATACTACAGTGAATCCTGGATACTTTTGACCTAAATTTGCCATGTTAAAGTCCCAATTGTTGTAAGCAGTCCCACACACATACTTTTATAAACCTGGATCCTTTGACCATCAGTCACAGATACTGAATTACCTGCAAGAATTTTAGTATACCCATAAGAACCAGGGTATATTCCTACTTACCCTGTGTCATGTTGGTTCATTCAGGACTTGAACTTGGCTTTAGTAACATTATCTAATAAGCAGACTGTATTCAAATTTGTTTTAGTGCTGCAAAATTCCTTATAGCTTCCTTTTTCCTAAATTTTTTGTAGATTTATGTGCATGAGTGCTTTGCCTACATGCATGGGTGTGTTACAAGTGTGTGTCTGGTGCACACAGAGGTCAGAAGAGGGCCTCTAGTTTTGAACAGAGATGAGCTGCCATGGGTGTCAGCCAGTGGACCCAGAATTTTCTCCTCTTTCAGCCTGTTGTTTTTCCTGACACTGATACGTTGATGCATGCAGGAAAGTTTGTTTGATTAAGTCCAGCTTTACACTTTGAACCGAGATGCTAATTAAAGGATTTCTTTCTCCTGCACCTCACTAAGAGGCAGTGTAATTTTTTCCTATTACTAGTGCTTAGTGTTTGCTGGCAAAAGTGGATCCTCAGAAGCCCTTCATTGCAAGAGGAGCTCACCCCCCTTCTAGTCCAATTCTCTCATTATAATTGTTGTTTTCCTTTATCTCTACGCATTTTAATGAAAATTATTTTATTATGTTCCTCCTGGAGCAAAACAAAGGATTTTGGGAAATCGTGACTCTGGGTAAGGCATTCTGGCTGTAATTGCCTTCATCAGCAACATGGCTATTGGCATTGTAATCAAAACACTAAGTACATTATCCAAGCTGTTTCTAACCGGCCATAGCTGAGTGACGCCTGACCTTCTAAAATTTAAGAACTATATGTTGGGTACCAAAGAGAGCAAGAATATCATATACAAATATGAAACCATTACCAAGATCTAGATGGATGTTGTCTTATGCCAGTAAAAGAAAGTTGACTTCACAGTGTAGGGGTACAAGCTAGTGACAGCTGTGCATGGAGCTCTCCATCCTGAAGTATGTCAGTTTCTTTGTTTTCTGGACTGGTATAGGTCAGCAGAATGCGACTGTATAATAACCAGGTACTCATGGAAAGACCTTATTAGCAAGGTTTTTACATTTTCCCATTGAAGAGGAAAGAGGCTAGCCCAGCCTTAAATGTCAACTTGCCACCACCCAATTCCCACTTGTCTGATTATGCTGAATACCATCAAATATATTTCATCAAATGTAGTGTGTACTCTACAGTGCTGTGTTGTAGAATGTCTCTGTTGTTATACACTATATAGTAGAATATAGCCATATGTAGATATTAAGCTCTTCAAATGTGGCTAATATAACTTGGAAGTTTAATTTGCTCATTTGTCTGCTCTTGCATTAGGCAGTATTTTTGTTATTAGTGTATAGGCATTGGTTTATTTTCATATATGTGCATAGAAATGTCTATTTCCATTATCTTTTTACTCTGTTAAAGCTGTTCTCTGATGAAACTTTTTTGTAGTACAGTTTTTTTTTCATTTATAGTTAACTACTTGTTATATCAAGGAATGATTTTAATTATCTGTGGATATTTTTATCTTAGTTAATAGAATCATAACTATTAGTAGCAATCACACAGATATCACAATAGACTTATGTCACTTACATATTGATTTAAAAAGCTGTGACAACTCATTAAAATTCTCTTTAGTAGCAGTATATTAATTATCTTTATTTTCATTTAGGTGAAAATGTGAAGGGAATTGAGTTTATGAATACAAAAAAATCTCATGAGGTTCAGGCAATGTCAGAGCTAATCTGCAGTATTGCTGATTACTGTGGTTTAAAGCAGGTAAGAGTATTTCTTTATAAGTATTACCCATTTTTTGTATCGCTCAGATTTCATTTTCTACTTTTACTTCTTATTGGGCTGTTGTTCTCCACCCCGTCCTCTCTTTTTGATTTTACACTCAGTGTTTATTTCACTTGCCAAAGCGGCCACATACAGTACTCAAGTCTTCACTGAAAGATCTGCCACTAAGCTGTACCAAACTAGAGTAAGGTGGAGGCTGTTACTGTATTCTTGTCCTCAGAACTTTATACATTTGAGTTTATATGAAATACTATGTAAACCAGTGTTGTGGTTGGATGTGAGATGCCACCCATAGGCTCATGTGTCTGAACACTTGGTCCTGAGTTAGGGGTGCTGTTTGTGGAGGTTATGGAATCTTTGGGAGCTGGAGCCTTGCTGGAGCAGCTGTGTCACTGGGGATGAATTTGAGTTTTGCAGCCTGGTCCCACTTCCTTTTCTCTCCTTTACTCTGGCTGGTGTGTATGAATGAAATGTGAGCACTCAGCTTCCAGATTGTATAGTTTCACTGTATTAGAGCTAAAACCTTTCCTTTTATTTAGACAAAAGGGGGAAATGTTGTGGGATATTTGTATACTGTGTGAAGATGTATTGCTGTAATTTGTGTAGTAAAAAGCTGAACAGCCAATATCTAGGTAGGAGGTATACTTGGGACTTCCGGGCAGAGAGAGAACTCTGGGAAGAAGACAGGTGGAGTCGCCAGCCAGATGAGGAGGAATCCAGATGGGTAGTATGAGTAGTCCAGAGAGATGAGTGTAACTACAGTCTTGTTTTAAAACTCTTCTTTCAAAATGTTCGTTGCTGCTATATTTCCTGTGCTCTAATAGACCATTGTTAGCTTCTGTTTGCTTTGTGCCTTGGCACATTGCTTAGTTCATCTTTATTTTTGGTGACTTTTAAATATATTCTTTGGGATTTTCTGTGGAAACAGTTACATCATGTATGATAAAAACATGTTTTCTTCCTCATTTCCAGTACTATGTCTGTTACTTGTTGCTTTGATTTACTATGCTATCTGGAACTGGAAAATGTTTAATAAAAATGATCAGTGATTGGTTTTTTATAGAAATTAAACATTAAAATAACAAACATAACAGATTACATAAATGATATAGTGCATTTGTCTATACATCTTAGTAAAATATCTGGAATGTTACTACTGCCAACTGACTAAAATCCTGAAATCATTCTGTTTTGTTTTCCTCAGATAATTGACGTGGGTTCTGGTAAAGGCTACCTAAGCTCCTTTTTGTCCTTAAAGTATGGTTTAAATGTCTATGGCATCGATTCCTCAAATACTAATACTCATGGAGCTAAGGAGAGAAACAGGAAGTTGAAGAAACACTGGAACCTGAATCATCATCATCGGACGAGAGTAGATGTCAATGGACTGGCATTAAAAATGCCGAAAGAAATGGGCGCTCAAAAAGAAGTCGAGTGTAAGGGAGATACTGAGAGTGTACCGAAGAGCAGTCTTGGGAATCAAGAAATATCTGCCGACATTTTGCCAGAGTTTCCAGAGTCAGCAGTTTCAACCATCAGAAAACAGCAAGGAGATCTACATGCTCAGCCACTTGAAGAAGAGAAGCTATGCTTTGAAAATACCTTTTCTCTCATGGATTTTTTGCCTATTGATGCCATCGAACCTACTTCATCTCAGGTGCACAATACAGAAATTGTGAGGAAACAGAGAAGAAATATGGCATCAAAACCAAGTGACTCAAGTATATATTCACCACTGACCTCTTTTATCACTGCTGATTCAGAATTACGTGACATTATTAAAGATCTGGAGGTGAGTCTGCTTTTGAATCCTCTGATTTGAAAGAATGCTATCAACATAGAAAACACTTTAAATAGTTTGTTATTGTACTAATGTGATATTATCTGACACATCAATCCTAAAGATCAAGAATAAAGTCCTCAGCTGGTTTTCTTTGTTCCTACAGCTGTGCAAATTTAATAAGAATATACTGTAGAATACAAAACCCTCTATTCATTTCACCACTAAATAGAAGGGCTAGTGCCAGGTGTTGGTGGCACACGCCTTTAATCTCAGCACTCGGGAGGCAGAGGCAGGTGGATCTCTCTGAGTTAGAGGCCAGCATGGTCTACAGAGTGAGTTCCAGGACAGCCTCCAAAACAATACAGAGAAACCCTGTCTCAGAACCCCCCCCCCAAAAGGGCTAGCACAAATGCTAGTCAGTAAGCCAAATTATCATGTCTACAATTTAGAGATTGGTAAAATTCTAGTCCAAGAAGTCTAAGTGTTTTCACAATAATTTTTATTGTTTTAAATTGATGCTTATAGTAGTAATTGTAGATATTCATGAAGTACAGCATGTTTTCATGGCACACACCTATAGATAGCATAAAGACTGAAGCAGGAGGATCCTGAATTCAAGGACAGCCTGGGCTACGTGTCTTATAAAGAGTCTGTCATAAACTGAAAAGTTAAGTAAATTTGCAAAATCACATTTGTAATGAATTAGACTCTAAAGCCAGCTGCCTATTTCTCAAGTGTATGTTCTTAGTGATATTATTTCATTTGTATTAAACTTACTGATAATTACCCAGTTCTTTGATGTCTCTTAAACGGTATCATCAGTATTTGTTTTCTTTTGGAATAGCTATGTAAGCCTAGCTAGTGTATGACTCATTATGTAGCCCAGACTAGCCTCGAACTCATGAGAAGCCTCCTGCCTCATCCTTCTGAGGGCGATAGTCTTATTACCACCGTGCCTTTAAAATTAGTTCTAATTGGTAGTATAAAAATTGAGTTGTAGCCGGGCGTTGGTGGCGCATGCCTTTAATCCCAGCACTCGGGAGACAGAGGCAGGTGGATGTCTGTGAGTCTGAGGTCAGCCTGGTCCACAGAGCAAATTCTAGGACAACCTCCAAAACAATACAGAGAAACCGTGTCTCAAAAAACCAAAAAAAAAAAAAAAAAAAAAATTGAGTTGTTAGCTGAATGATTCTTAACACAGCATTGGGAGATAAGATGACTTTTTAAAGATGTTGTGAGAGGGAACTGGGATTGTAATGTAAAATAGGATTTCTAATTTAAATAAAAATTTATAAAAAAAGAAAGCATTAAAATGTTGTTGTGAAGAACACCTAAGAAATTGCTATAAGTATATTTATATCATAAATGTCATAGTTATGTGACCCATAGAATGTCTGTGTTGAAGGGTAGCTTCTTAAAACATCAAAAGATAGTACAACTTCCCTAAATGTCTTCAGTTCTAAATGGTAAAAGGATATGAACACAAATTGCTCACATGAAAGGTCCCATTTGCTCCTCTTTAATTCAATTTTATGATTCATGTTAAACAAAGTAATAATAAATACAACTATGAGATGCTTGGTAGATTGACAAGATTCTGTGCATATATATATATATATATATATATATATATATATTTGTACTCAATTTCATGTGAGTACACTTAAATTAGGATTGGAGTAATTGGAAAGCATTCTGCAAGACAATTTTTACCTAAAATTCATGTTAGAAAATTGAGAAAAAATAGATATCTTGATTTTTATTTTGTTAAATTTGATCAGTAAATAATTAAACATATTGGTATTGTGTTAGAAATGATAATTTTATACCTTTTCTGTTTCTTATAACCATGTTTTATAAGATGGGCAGCCTGAATAAGTTCAATCAATAAAAGAAATTAGACTAGTATAGTCATAGTGTTATATAAACATCAAAATATCAGGCTTATGGAGTAGCTGCATTTTTTTATCTGACCTTAACCTTTAATTTGCATTGTCTAGCTGTTAAGCAAACATTATTTGTAAAAGAGATGAGAAGAAATACAAATGAAGACATTAAAAAAAAAGCAGAAGTTCTAGAAAAGTATGGCTATTTTGGTTAAAATGAACAATTATTTATTTTACATATAAAATGATGTTTAGAATTTTATGTAGAATTGATCACTTAAACGGTTCATATATTTGAAAACAAAGTCTTGCCTTGTATAGTTGTTAACTCTCCTTTTAATTGCCGTTGTTTTTAATTGCCTTGTCTCTAAAGGACTGTTTAATGGTAGGTCTCCATACTTGTGGTGACCTTGCACCAAACACTCTGCGGATATTTACATCCAAGTCTGAAGTCAAGGGAGTTTGCTCTGTGGGTTGTTGCTACCATCTTTTATCTGAGGAATTTGAAAAGCAGCCTAAAGGTAGTAAGCATTCTGTGTCATAATTCTTATGTATTTCAATTATTGTGGCTAGTTTCTATTTCTCTTTTAGCCATTATTGTGTCTTGATTGATTTGTCTTATTTGCTTGTTGAGAAAGGATCTCATTGTGTAGTCTTGGATGTCCTGGGGCTCACTATAAAGACCAGGCTGGCCATGAGCTCAAGGATCCATCTGCCTCTGCCTCTGAGTGCTGGGATTAGAAGCTTTGTGGCACCATGCCAGCCATTACTGTGACTTGGATTAGCATTTAAGATAACATCTAATTAAGGAAACTAGATACAATATCACTTTTATATCTTATTATCATTTCTTTGCCATAAAATAGGCTTATTGAGAACTGAAAATTTGCAAATACCTGAAATTTCACTAGTATATGATGCATATTTTGTAAGACTTATGTTTATAAATACTTGTAAGTTTTGCTTTGATTAAAACTGTTATTTTCATAAGTGCAAAATTTTTTCACATTTCCAAAGTTTTCTCCATTTCTGAAGAATTAATATTTCTTTGTAAAAAAGAAAAAATAGCATATATATTTTTCTATGAGCCTAGAAAGCCTTAGTACTATTATTTTATTAAAATAGTAATATTCAGTATGTGCTCTCTGGACTCTGTAGAGAAAAATGAAAAATGTGTTGGCAACTTCAAATATAGCATTTTCTTGGTGCATTTTATATGATAAATCTCTCTAAGATACAGCTTCAAAACTGCTGTTTCAAAATAGTTTTTAGGATATTAATAGCAGTTCTTTTATATGTGGTAGTATTTTGATTAAATTAAGTTTGAATAGGAAATTGTGGTGGTTTGAAAAAGAACGATCCCCACAGGCTCATAAATTTGAATGTTTGGTCATTAGGGAGTGGCACTGCTTGACAGGAATTAGCAGGTGTGACTTTGTTGAAGTAGATGTGGCTTTGTTGGAGGAAGGGTGTCACTGGGGGGTGGACTTTGAGGTTTCAAGTGCTCAAGCCAGGTCCAGAGTCTCTGCTGCGTTTAGATCCAGATGTAGAACTCTCAGCTGCCTCTCCAGCACAATGTCTGCCTATATTCCGCCCTTTTTCCTGCCATGCTGATAATGGTAAATCTCTGAAACTATAAGCCAGCACCAATGAAATGTCTTCCTTGATAAGAGTTGCCACAGTCACGGTGTCTCTTCACGGCAATAGAGGCACTCTTCAAGAGGCACCGGAAGAGCCTGAAGGAACTGAAAAAGTGGTGTACTCTTGCACGCATTGACTCCCCTTTCTGCCTCATGTCTTAGCTTCTTTCGTATTGCCACGACAAAACCTACAGGGGAAGTCACCATTGTTCAATGAGTTTATTGAGGTCCTAAGATAGACAAAGAGAAGAATTGTGAAAATCTGTCCTCAGAGACCAACAGCTACACTCTCTCCTTTTCTTTCACCGGGCTTAGCTGATGCATCGGAAGACCTTCCTGTGAACAGTATCTTATCTGTAGAGAATTCTTGCTTTAGCAGATGGGTAGTAATAAGCTTTGGTCAGGTAAAACACGTACTTAAATCTTAGTATCACATGTTTTCCTCATATATACCTGAAATGAACAGAGTTGGGAGTTCGGTTTGTCAGTAAAGCAGAGTATAAATGGGAGGACAGTGGTCTGACTGATGTTTGAAATGGGTACATATCTGTGCAGCGCGAGTAACTACAACAGTTGAACATCAGGAAAACAGTTGCACCCCCGGGAAAAAGGAGAAAGTGTACAAAAGCGAATATAAGTATAACAGACTTGGTTTGTGTTTCAGTTTCGTCTGGACTGTTCTTTGTCTTCTGTACAAAACCAGCTGCATTTGGGAGCCAGGTAGATACCTTCATCTTTTGCCATATTGCATATTCATTTCCTACCATATCCTCAATGTAATTAAAGGAAATGAGATAGCCATTTTGTAACAGTGCTTCTTAATTCTGACTATATGGCGGAATCAAATTTGTCACTACGGGATACTGAAGAACTGTCTGTGACCATCTGAAGTATAGCTTCCAGGGACAGAACTCAAATATATGTATTTTTTAGAAGCTCCATAAATAGTTCTGAAGAATATCACTTTGAAAACAAGGAATTTATTATGATTGTTTTGAGATATAGAATTTGAGAAAATGGTTTGTAGAAAATACATACAATATTTATTTTAACTTTTCCTATGCATAGGCTTATGTGGGCTATACATTCAGATGCCTTTGCAGATCAGAACCAGAGGTTGAGCTACCAGAGCAAGGCAAGACATATCAAAGTCAGCATGTAGAAAGCCAGACTCATTGTTCCTAACTAAGCCCTGAGGACAGGCATCTAGCTTCCTAACAGACACAGTTTCAAGATCAGAGGAAATTGGATTGTAAATCTGGAGTGATAGGTTAGAAACAAGACAGACTGATGGAGGAAAGCCTGAAACCAGCAGGGAGTATCTGTGATAGTTAATCTTGATTGTCAATCCAATGAGATTTAGACTCACCCTGGAGACGAGTCCCTGGGTGCAGCTGTATGAGATTATCTAGATTAGATGATGAAATGATTAAATGGAAAGACTCACTCTGAATGTGGATGGTACCACTTCATGAGCTGGGATTCTTGACTGGATAAAAAGGAGGAAGCAGGACCATCACAAGCATCCATTGCCTTCTGCTTCCTGGCTGTGGGTGCAATGTGATGGGTGCCTTAAGACTCTGCTGCCAAGATTCCCATGCCATGGTGCACTGTGCCATTGAACAATGAGCCAAAATAGGCACTATTCAAGATAATTATGGCATCACTAGAATTTTGATAGCTTACATTTCTTTATTGGTAAGCACATAGAAGAAAGTGTGTGTGTGTGTGTGTGTGCGTGCATGTGCGTGCATGTGCGTGCATGTGCGTGCATGTGCGTGTGTGTGTATGTGTGTGTGCATGTGCGTGTGTGCATGTGTGTGTGTGCATGTGCATGTGCACGCCTGTATATGAGGTAAGCAGCCAATAGACTATAAATGTAGCCTTATTTTATATTCTTAATGTGCACAGTGTGGTCCTGGTATTCTTTTTAACTTATTTTAGTTGTTTTTTTTTTAATGTATATTAGTGTTTTACTTCCGTGTGTGTATGTGCACCATACGCCTGCAGCGGTCAGAAGAGGGCTTCAGATCCCTTGAGACTGGAGTTAGAGATGGCTCTGAGCCACCGTGTGGGTGATGGGAACCAAACCTGGTCCTTTGCAAGATCAACAAGGTTCTTGACAACTGAGCTAACTCTCCAGCCCCAACACTAGAGCTCTTTACAAAATTACAAATATACCACTGAAAAGTTTAGTCATTATACTAAAACAATTGACTATACGGGGCAAGGGGTTTGTGTGGAAAGATTAACATAATTCCTTTCCTATATCAAGCCCCAGGGTCCATAATGTTCTGTCCCAGAATGGACAAATTGTTAATGTATCACTGTGATTGTTTTGATAGAAAAACTAAACATCCAGTAGCTGGGCAGGCTTTTCCGGGCAGAGAGAATGCTGGGGAGGAGAAGGGTGGAGTCAGTGCTATGAGATGTTGAGTGAGAAGGATAGGAAGTACATACATGAGGTAAATGAGCCTTGGAGCAACATACAGATTAATAGAAATGGATTAATTTAAGTTATGAGATAGCTAGAAACCAGTCTAAGCTAACAACTGAGCATTTATAATTAATTAAATTAATTAGTTATAATATAATAAACACTCTGTGTAGTTATTTGGGAGCTAGCCTGACAGGACAGAACTGGCTAGTGGTCCGATTGTGAAATCTTCATCTACAGTGCTTACAGCTAAGGATTAGTCAGCAAACTGAGTGCTCTCCCATAGCCGTCTCTGCTAGGTATGAGGTGTATCCACATAAAGTTAGTTAAATAAACTTACAGCATGTTCGTATTGTTGTAGGCAAGAAAAGACAGTGGTAACACAGCGCCAGGTGTTCTAGTATCTGAGGGTAACTGATGTGTAAGGGCATTATGTGCTTTACACCATCTTCATTCTCTCTTTTTTCCCCCATTGCTGTGATAAAATAACCTGGTAAAGACATACTAAGGGAGAAAAAGCTTATTTGGGTCCATCATACAGCAGGTAGGGGAGGCTTGGCAGCAGGAACAGGAAGCTGGCTGGCTGGTCACATTACATTCATTCACCCTTGGGAAGTAGAGTGAACCCAAGTGGCCCACTTCTTCCATCAAGGCTCTGTTTCCCAAAGGTTTCACAGTGTTCTGAAACAATGCTGCTGACTGGGGAACAAGTGTTCAACTCGTGACCCTACATGGACCGTTACCCATTCCAGCCCTCCACACAGTGTGGTATTGGAGCTAGGCAACAACTTGTATTAGAAGCACAGAGATGATTGCTTCTAAATGTCCACAGGAGTGCAGAAACACTGTTCAGCAGAGATAGACTGACTTCTCGATGTACTTCTACTATGTCCTGGAATAAACCAGTTCGTCTTTGTGGCTCTTCTGTAAATTAGTGAACGAAGAGGAAGTTAACTGGGATGTTCTCTTGCAGCTGATATGATACTAGCATTTGATTTGAATACAGCTTTCCAAAGCAGGTTTGTTATTTGAACTTAGCTTACTTTTTCTAACATGTTGACTTAATTCATCTTATTTTCTTAATTATGTTGGCATTACATAACCAGATAGTCTGATATCCTGCTGTGATTCTTCATTTGGTCGATTCTGGGAAATTTAAAAATACCAGTGTTATAATGCCCATAAATTTTCTGTTTTTCAAAGTTTTTATGTCTGGTTTCTAATAGTCAACCCAGCAATAGTCCATAGCAAATATATGCTTAAGCTTTCATCCTCGTAATCATCAATATTAAGTTTAATAGTTAGTTGACCGATTAGAACCTGTCAGGACATGACTCCGGTTGAAAAACTTATCAGGGCTGATATTGTTGGTATTGTTCTTTGAAAGCTGAAACAGGTAGATAAATTGTGCTGCCAGCTTGAGAGCCACCCACCTCTAATTTTT